ATATTATACTATTATTAATGTAATATTATACTATTATTAATATAATATAATATTATTAATAATGTTAATATTATGTTATTACTACTACATTATTAATAAATTCATATATTACAAATATTTTAATATTATATAATATATTATAGTTTCTAATATGTTAGAGTTTATTAATAATATTATAATAATTTATGATATAAATTAATATTATTTATTATGAATATATTATTTTTAAATTATTATATTATTATATAAGATATTTTTATTATATTTTTATATTATTTAATAAACATTACTAATATATTTGATTAATTATAATATAATATAGTATAATATAATAAGTATGTTAAAATAATTATATATTAATTATATTTAATATTTTATGTTAAATATTATATTAACACCTCATCAAACTCAAAATCAAAACATCAAACTTAAAACACCTAAAAAGTGTTTTGAAATAAGTGTTGTGTTTTTTGTTTGATTATGATTTAGCTCAAAAAACACAATAGTTTACAAACGCATGATGTTTTATTTTTGGTAAAAACACTATAGAAACAAGTAAAACACCATAGTATTCAAACGGAGTCTAAGATTCAAATTCTACGGACACACAATTAAAACATATTAGAAATTGTGAAAGAAAGTAAGACATAAAATTCTACATTAAATTGAGAGATGACAAGGAGATGATCAACTTTTTACTAAAATTCATAAATAAAAAGTTCCGCAAGCTTGGATGAATTACAAGTAGTTTTCATTGCAACGCTAATTCATCCATAAAAAAAATGTTGATTTTGCCCCCATATAAATGAATCAAGAAGTAGGCATTATCGTAATTATTTTGTCGGATGGTGTTGGATATCTCTCAAATTACAAAAAGTACTCCAAATTCCGAAACCGTGATGCACAAGGAAAAAATGGAAATGAATTTGGTGGGCTGTCCGAATTTTTAATTTTTTTATTTTTCCTTCTGGTCTCACTTGCTCTATCTGAAAGCATGAAGGATGCGATCGAAAATTCGCCTGTATATAAAGAAAAAATTATTCTGAGTGGTTTCGTGCAAGAAGCTGCAGTTTTTTTTATCAGACCCCTTCCTAAACTTCATTTTCGCAGCCCCCACCACTAGAATTAGAAAAAACTATATTTAAATAAAATTTTAGATAATTAAAGCATGGTTTCTGGAACAATTAGAAATGATAATGTGTTGCGCGCAGCGGAAATTTCTGCAGCACTTCGGCAGCACAACAAGAGAGTCAGGTCGTAATAGGAATTCCTGCTTCACAAAGGAAACAAGAACATTAAGCAAAATATCTCAACCAAGTAAGATATCAGCTCTTCCTATCATCAGTTCTAGGACTGACCTGTCGAGAGAACCTAAAAGCTATTACAAATCACACAAATAGCGAGACAACCAATTTTACGTGGTTCGGCAAATTGCCTACGTCCACGGG